AGTGGCTAGGCGCTGTCAGGTAGAACTCTACTCTATATTAATTCCATTATTTTTCTTTTAAATTCCTTCCTCATACTCTACAATCTCTCTTATTAAGTAATATGTATTCTCCTCTAATTTTTTTTATATCAATTTTCCAAATTAAATATTTTATTATCATATATATGGCAAGTGGAAGGGAAACTCAAATTCTTCGGGTAAGGGCAAGGGGAAAAAATTGAAAGAATCATCTATCCCGTCAAACGCGACATTCTAGATATGATTCCCGATCAATTTTCAATTTTGAGGGTTTTTTCAAATGAAATTTGAGGATATTCCTCAAGTCTGAAATTGTAATGAAGGCAATTCAAGAAGATGAAGAGCAAGATTTCAAGAGAACGGAGCCAAAAATTGTTAACAAGAGCCAATGACAAAGTTTCCGACATATTCCTCCCAATTCATTTCACAAAAAAATTCAAGGTGAGAAAAATGTACAATGTAATTTGCGGCATTTATTGTAGAAAATTAGCTCTATTATTAAACGAAGCGACGCGGCCTATGGCAATCAATTTTTGGAAGCATGTTGAGACAAAACATCCTAACAAAATAGGAGTTGAATTCCGGTCTCAGCAAATAAATTTTCGGGTACGCTTCTAACCTTTCTTTAATTTAAATATAAAATATAAAAAGAAGATTTAAGGCAAAAATGAATTATGTGATGGAGACTTTAATCTTTTAGTTTTGGGTGAAAAAGTAGGTTTTAATAATTATTTGTCAAAAACGCTTTTAAATCCGCTTACTAGCTAAAAGAGTACCAAGAAATACTTGGTAAACGAACTTATTATTTTTTTATATAAATAAAGGAAAAAAAAGAGTTAAGAAACTTTTTTATTTTCCTCAATTGAAAATTCGTGGTTTTCAATTTTGTTGGTGATGTTTGGAGTGATCATATGGCAAATGCATTCTTCATATGGGTATTACACTGTCTTGGATTTGAATGATGATTGAAATTCAAAAAAGAATGTATTGGTTTTCGTGTTTTTGATTGATAAACATACTGCAAGTAATATTTTATAGAATAATTGTTTCAATTTTAGATTAAAATATAAAGTTGACAAAAAAAATTTTTTTCAATTTCATTTGATAATGCTTCTAAATACTAGATCAATTATTGAACTTAAAAAAAATTTGTGAAACCAAATATTTTGTGGTAAATTTTTTCATTATAAGATGTGCATGCCATATTTTAAATTTATGTGTAACAAGATGGTTTAAAAATTCTGATTCTTTTATTTCTCCAATTAAAAAAACTATTCATATTTATGGACAACATTCCCCAAGTGATGAAAGTTGGCCTAATTTTGTAAGAAATAATAAAAGAGAACCAAACACGTTTTTTCCAAAGGGATGTCCACAACTCGTTGGAATTCAACATCATGATTTACTAAACGAGTCTTTTTCCTTAATAAAATGAATTATTATGTTTTTTTTTTAAATAATAATATGTGAGGATATTAATTTATATCCCAAATTGGGAGAGTTTGTGTAAAAATTTTTAGAATATTTTAAAAATTGTTTAATGATGCTACCTATAATCTTAGTGGGTTTGTACAAAAATTTTAGATATTTTAAAAATTTTTAATGATGCTACCTATAAATTTAGTGGGGTTTATTATCCCACATCTCATTTATTTTTACCTGTGTATTAATATTGTTAATGCACTCCAAGAATTTCAAAATGATGATTTATTAAAAGATTGTATTTTTTCAATGAAAAAAAAATGGTTATCTTATTTTAAAAATATAGCACCCCTTTATCTTGTTGCTATTATATTTGATCCTAGATGTAGAATGGATGTTTTATGTGATTATTTGACTATTTATTATGAAGTATTGAATCTTGATGTAGAAGATAATGTTAATATAAATGTAGTAGAAGATAATGTTAATATAAATGTAGTAATGCATGAAGTTAAACAAAATATTATGCAATTATATAATGAATTTGTTCAAGTTTCTAGTTCATCTACTTCTAAATATTCCAAACACAATTTTTCAAAACACAAGGTAGTGGTGTTTGGGTGTTGCTCAATCAAGTTTTAATTGAAAAGAAAAAAAGACAAGGGAATCCAGTTCTATTTTCCCTGAATTTGATTAATTATCTAAACAACTTTCTTTTGAGTTGGTGATGAATTATGCAGATGCGATTTTCCCATTTTAAAGATTGGTGGAGGGTCGTCACAGTGCAAATATCTTTTCCAATTCTTTTTTTTTTACTTTGCAAAACAAATTTATAGCAGCTCCGGTCTTCCAACTAGCTCCACTGTTGCGGCGGCTGAACAAAAGCTTTTAGTCAAGGGGAGGAACATACTTGATGAACACACGTTCTCGTATGAAAGACAAACCGACGATTCATTAGAAAGCACAAAGCGTGCGTGGATGATTGGAAAACCCAAAAAGCCCGAAACTAAGAGCCCAAGAAAAATCCAAAAAGAAAATGAAGATTTAATTTGATTTATTACCGATGGATCTCACGGGAACATCAACCGATGGTCAAAATTAAGCGATTAGGTAAAAAGGGTGAAATTGATTAAGGTAAGTAAGAACCACGTTGAGTTTTTGATGTCCCTCTATAACAGCCAAGAGTATAGTAGGCAACTTAATTTTTTTTTAAAACAAAAAATAAATCTAAGTTCAAAGCCCAATTTTTTTTTTTTTTTAAATTATGTTCAAAACTTAAAAAAGAAAAAAAAAAAAATTCAGTTCAAATTTTTTTTAAAAAAAAATAATTATGTTCAACACTCAACAATTCAAGTCTTTAAAAAATAAATTTAATTGAATATTTTTTTAATTTTTTTTAGGTGTATTTTTTAATTTTTATGTATTTTTTTTATTTTTAATTTTTTATGTTCAATGAATATAATTTTTTTTAAAAACCGGTCTTCAAATTTAAAAATTTTTAGTGGTATTTTTTAATTTTTTTAGGTGTATTTTTTAATTTTTTATGTTCAAATAATTTTTTTTTAACCAGTCTTCAAATTTTAAAATTTTTTAACTGTATTTTTTAATTTTTTATGTTCAAATAAATTTTTTTTTTTAAACCAGCATTCAAAATTTAAAATTTAAAATTATGCGATTCGCAGGAAAACCAATCGGAACCGTCGGTTTTGTAATCGGATCGGAATCGGAACCGGAACCGGAACCAGACGGTTCCAAACCGGAATCGGAACCGGACCATTTCGGTTCGGTTCCGGAACCGTGGCCAAGTCTACTAAGGGGATAACGTTAATTTTAGTCCATATACTTGTCTTTTTTTATTATTATTTTAGCGTTTGAACGAAAACTGTAATAATTAAATATCTAAACTTCTAATTTTTTTAATTTAATATTTAATATTCAACATTACTAATTAGGATCTTACGTATAGTATTAATGGCTCCGTCGTTGGTTTCGAATATTTTATTTACGTGTAATATTGTTAGCGTTTCAAATATTTTATTATCTAAAATCATAAAAGTCTTTATTGCTAGCAAATTTAAATCAACAAGCGAATCACATCGCACGGCCCAACTAAGACTGTTGTCTTGGTTTAGACAATTATAAAAATAGCATAATACAACCCAATGTCTTCTTCCACATTCTCTCTCACAAACCAAAAATGCCTCCAAACACCGCATCTCATTCATGGCCATTTTACTTTATTATTTTCTCAATCTTAGCTCCTGTTCTGCTTGCTATATTCATTTTCCAGCTTGACTAGTTCGACCCAGCTCCTATGCCTATCCACGAGTTGACTCTATCCACGAGTTGACTGACCCGCCACCGGAGGCTTCTATGAAGAATGGTCGCCTTCTTCAAGGCTCAGAATTTCTAGGTGTCGGGCAGTTGAAGGCACCGGAAGATATAGCATACGATGGCGAATCAGGAGTCATTTATACAACGTGTGCAGATGGGTGGATAAAACGAGTCACAGTGAATGACTCGGTGTCTGACTCGGTTGTGGAGAACTGGGTTAACACTGGTGGTAGACCACTTGGACTCGTCCTGGGAAAAGATAACGATGTAATTGTTGCTGAGTAATTGTTGCTGATTGTTGCTGATGCCTACAAGGTCAGTATTTGAAGACAAAATCTTATACATACTACCAATTTGTCGTGTGTATATAAAATATGTGCCCATAAAATTAATAGTTATTTATAAAAGTATATTTATTGTATTTAACGTAAACAAATCATTAAAACGAATTCATTTGCGTTGATATTTCTTGGCATTTCTTTACGGTAGTAATTATCGTGATTAAAGGATAATTTTATTATTATATTGAAATATTGTTTTGTTCCAAAGTATAAATCGTTATTGTACAAATATTAAGAAAATAATTAATTCACATAAATTCTAATAAAACCAAAATAACTTGACTAAATTATCTTTTATCTCAAAATTAATAGTTATTTATAAAAGTATATTTATTGTATTTAATGTAAATAAGGATAACATCAAAAAAACATCATTTATTACTCATTAAAATGCTCAAAACGACTTATATTTTGAAACAAAATAATTATCTAAAAACGACTTATACTTTGGAATAGAGTGAGTAATAAGCAAGAAATTAATGAGGTAATTGAAAATAAGATAAAATTTAATAAGAGTATAATAGACAATTTAAAAATTAACTATAATGCACAAAGGAAGGTGGACTATATTTTTGGACAAATCAAAAGGAAAAATGGACTATTGTTTTTTAAACGGATGGAATATACTAAATTATTGAGTAAATTAACTATGTTATCCTTAATTTAATATGTCTAAGAATCAAATTTTCGGGAATTGAAATAGTAATTGTTGGTCATACACTTAGGGTAAATATGAAAAAAAATTATTATTCCTTCAAACCACAAATGTGATGAGTATTTAGGAACGGAGGTAGTAAGTTATTTTTTTCGGAAACAAACAGTAGCTTAGTTCCACATAAGTGTTTATGATAAACGCATTAGTCTAGAAATGCTAACCATGAAATTAGGGGAAAAAAAAATAATTAATCTCAAGAATGTTTTGATATTTACCAAATTAATGTTGATGTGCAATATATAGGGATTGCTAAAGATTAGTAGAGATGGTGAAATAGAGCTATTAACAGATGAGGCAGAGGGTCTGAAATTCAAACTTACAGATGGTGTAGATATAGCAGAAGATGGCATTATTTATTTTACAGATGCTTCTTATAAGTACAATTTTCATGACCATTTGTGGGACGTTTTGGAGGGTAAGCCCCACGGTAGGGTATTGAGCTATAATCCTGCAACCAGAATCACCAAAGTTTTGGTCAGTGACCTATATTTTGCCAATGGACTTGCAATTTCTCCCGATCAAGACTCTTTAATCTTCTGTGAAACTTCCATGTAAGTAATTGTTCTCTAAAATCTTTTGGTATTAAACTTAGCTTCTAATGAGAATTCTAAAAGTTTAATTGAGTCGAGTCGAGTTACTTTAGGAGTTATTCAAACTTGCTTCAATTTTAACTAAATCGAACTCGAACTTGAGTAGGTCAATCAATAGATTGAATCATATTCAAGTATTACATATAAAGTTATGACTAGATTGTTTGCTAGTCTAATAAAATAATTAAAATATTTATTTGTTTCAAATAATTTTTTTGGTTCAACCTTTAAACTTTTGTAATGCAAGCATATACTTAGATTTTTGTTAATATATTGTTAGGAGTGTAAATTAGCTAAGTCAGCTCGCGAACTGTTTGCATTCGAAAAAGTTCAGCTCGAATCAAGCTCAAACTTAATCTCAAGCCTCCTCATTTAGCAAATGATCTGAGCTCGAACCTAATAAAGTTCAGCTTAAAAGTTTGTCGAGCCTTATCAAGTTTTTTTATATACATATGTATAATAGGTTACTCAAGTCTCGAGTCTCAAGCCGAGCTCAAACTTAAAATTTTTTGAATTGAACTAAGAGCCTCAAGTCGAGCTCAAATCGAGCTTGAATTTAAAATTTTCAGGCTTGTTGATTTCCGAGCCGAGATTTGCGCTCGTCAAGTTCAAGCTTGACTCGGCTTACTTACACCTTTATATATTGAATTTGACTTTAAAAACCTGGTTTGGACTTGTTCACTACAGGAGGAGGTGTAGAAAATATTACATAAAAGGCAATAAAAAAGGAAGCTTGGAAAAATTTACTGATTTGCCTGGAATGCCAGACAATATCCATTATGATGGACATGGCCACTTCTGGATTGCATTACCCATGGTATAATATCTTTATATATTTAAAGTAATTGTTAAATTAACTTGAGCAGATTAGTAATTTTGATCAATTTGACAGGAAATCACAACATTTTGGAAGGCAGTATTCAAATATCCTTTTGTCCGAAAGCTTGCAGGAATTGTTTTGAAGCACAAAGGAAATATAGGTGATACAGGAAAAAATGGAGGAGTTTTTGTGGTGGATTTGGAAGGGAAACTGATTTCCCATTACTATGATCCTGAGTTAAAATTGATTTCTAGTAGTGTAAAAATTGGAAATCATCTATACTGTGGTTCTATCACCTATCCCTATATTATTCGTCTAAATTTGGCCAAGTATCCTGCACTTGCCAATACCTAAGTTGTGTAGATTAATGCTATACTAATGTCTCTCATCAGTGCTCAGAGGGTTGGTGCGCCCTATGGGTTGTCCTCAATCGGGCCATCAACACCTGACTAGTTATCCGAGCTTACAGAGGCAATGACTAAAACATCTAGTAATCCTCTTTTTCTTTTTCAAAAAATGTGTTTACACTATGCAAATGTTATAGAAATTGTCAGAGTTGTCTAGCAAACATTTCTCATTGAATATAGTAATAGTATGATGTTTTTGCCGCGTTTAATTTAATTTCACCTAAATATAATAATTGAAATAATTTAGTGAAAAAAATATTACGAAGCGCATTTCACATATATTTGCCACCATTTCACTCACCTTATAATCAAATACAAAAATTTTTTTAACATAATAATAAACAAAATATTGTCGTAAATGAACATAGAAAATATTACAATTAATTTAATTAATTACAAAAGTTTTGTGTTTGTGGAAGAGTTCAGTAAATTAACAAATGAAATTAACTATGTGCTGAAAATTATAATTTGCTGCGTGATGAATTATTTATTAATTTTTTATTTCTTTTTTATTTCAAGTTTATAAAGAAAAATATTTACAATAAAACGTCTGAGCTAATCATTTTTATATAGTTAAATGTATTTCGCTGTAATTTCCCTCCAAAAAATTAAAAATTAATTATTTTATTTCATTGCATTATATTATTTATTTTTTAAAATTATTAACAGGTTTCGTGAAACGGTTCAAACTTTCAAATTAACTCATCTATAATTTATTTATCAAAAAAATTATAATTCATCTAACTCGAGTTGAAATTTAAGTTCAACTTTTTTTTTTGTTAAATGAGCATCATAAATAAATTACTTAGCTGGTTAAGTTTGTTTATGAAAGAAATTCGAACAATTATTTTTTAACTATAGTTAAACAAAACTACTTTTTTAAATTAAATTTCACATATTTCAGTCATAAAAATTTTAGACAACACTATAGAATTGGATGTAATTCAGGTAACTCTACAATTTTAATGAGTGAATGAGCATGTAACATTACCACATAATTTGACATTTTATTTAAAATTGTAAGTTGTTTTGTTTACAGATGGTGGCCGTTCCAATAATCAATTGATTGAAAGAAAGTCACTACCTTCTGTCTCTACAGCCTTACTTTTAGCTGTCGGAATTGGAATATTTGAGGCTTTGGCAATGTATTTGGGGTCGGGAATATTTCTCAACATGATGGGCATATCATCTGTAAGTAATAAATAATTAGTCATAGATCACTTTATTGTATTTCATAATTTTCTGTTTTTAGAATGATTTTGGTTGCACTCAAAATCTGGTACCAGAATTTTTGTATTATTTTCTGGAACAGGATCCATTCTGTTGACATTTCACACCTCTATGTTTTGATCGCAGGATTATGTTTTACATAAACTATTCCATTTAAAAGGTTATCTATTTTCTAAAACTCATTTTTTGGGCAGGCTTCACCCATGCGGATTCCAGCCGAAAGATTTCTCAAACTAAGAGCAATCGGTGCTCCCGCAGTTGTCCTTTATCTTGCCATTCAGGGTATATTCCGGGGTTTAAGGATACAAGGACTCCTGTCCTATGTCTAGGCCAGTTGCTCACTTACCTCTTGCAATTTTCACTATTAACTCGGACATTGTAGATTGATCACATATAATCATGTGAGAGATCATCATGCCAACTACTTGCCAACTACTTACTTTATTAGAATTAATGTCCAAATAGAATCCTATGAAGAGGAAATATGACCATGTAAAAATGGCCAAGGTGTTATCAATCTGTCAAGTGTAACCTGCACAATGATGGCGTTCACACACACATGCACATGTAATGATACATAGAACCCAAAGCCACTCAATGAAGGAAATATGAGATTTATGCCCAAATTACCTAGATGATGATAATGAGTAGTGCCAAAGAACATTAACTTTCTAGTTTAAAGTCAATTTCCGTAACTCAGTATAACTATATATTAATTCGAAAGGCTTGGGGGTTGACTTCAAGAATCATTTTGCTCCACCTACTGTCCTTTTGTGTCTAGATTCACATTTTCATGGATTCTTTAGAATCAAAGAATAGTCTCTCCTATTTGTTTGAAAAAACTTAGAGTTGTTTATTTGTTGAATTGTTCAAGGATTCAATAGACTCATGCCACCCAAAAGTTATATATACCTCTCTAAATCAGGCTATGTAAGTCTCGGCAAAGTCTATATGTATACCGTCTTCTAAAATCAGGCTTATGTAAGTGTTTGAGTTTAGAAGAAGCAGAAAAAAAAAAAAAAAAAAAAATTAAAAAAGAAAGAGAAGGAAAATCTCTGTAGAGAAGGAAAAATCTCAGATTTTGGTAAGTGTGGAGAAACAAAGTATTACATTCTCATTTTTAATTACAACATAATGTAAATAATTATACCCTAGAGGCTATTCTAAAGTTTGTTACCAACCTTCCATAAGTCAAAAAAGTTTGTTTTCACCAAACTTACCTTAAAAGCAAGGTAGTTCACCTACCTCTTTGACTTCAACAAAGTACATACAAGAACAAAATCTAATGACTTTAACAAAATTTCTCCAAAAAACTGAACAAAATTTCTCCAAAAACTGTCAACAACACTTGCATCAATTTTAGCATCAATGGAGCTGTAGGTGTAACTTTAACACTCCTCCTTGATGCAAGAGTTGAGACAAACACCAAGTCTATTCGTAAGAAATTTAAATCTTGGTTTTTTGCAATGCCTTGGTGAAAATGTCTGCTGTTTGGTCTTCAGAACTGCAATGAACAATCTGAATTTTATTTTCCTTTTCAGCTTCACGCATTGCATGGTACTTGATTTTTGTATGCTTGGTTTTTCTATGGAAGATTAGATTCTTAACCATAGCAACAGCTGATTTGTTGTCACAAAGTATTTTAGTTGGATTCTCTTGATGAAAATTCATAATTATCTTCAACTCCTCCTCCATGGCAACGCTCCACTCAGGCAATTTTAAGGGTTCATCCACCTGAGTTGGTTCAAGTGAGACAACATTACATCTGCTGTAAATTTCATCTAGGGATGTAGTCCCTTTAATTGCATAATCATCTTCATTTGATTCTTCTTTATTGTCAACTGGAAGTTGTTCCTCTTGCTGAAAATGATCTTGTTCAAGAATTGATTTAGAATTTTCTAGTTCCATTTTACTCCAATCCCATTCACATTTCTCATCGAATTTGACATTCTTGCCGACATACACCTGTTTAGTAACAGGATTCAAAATTTTGTAGGCTTTGGATTCATTGTTGTTTTCAACTACAGATGGCAAATCAGCAACTAATTTCTTGGATTGTAGCAATTTTAATGAATTGAGATTGGTGTGACCAAGTCTCTTATGCCACAAATCAGATTCTTCTTCGAATCTTTTCAAATTTAGAGGATAGCTTCTCCGTTTCATTTTGACAGCAAATAACTTTGAGCCAGAAGGATCACTTATTTCACAAGTCTTATCTTTAAATAGCAAACTGTAATTCTTATCCACCGTTTCATTTTGACAGCAAATAACTTTGAGCCAGAAGGATCACTTATTTCACAAGTTTTATCTTTAAATAGCAAGCTATAATTCTTATCCAGCAATTGACCAACCGAAAACAAGCTTTGATTTAGTTCCGGTACATAAAGAACATCGGAAACAAGCTTTGTACCTAAAGGAGTTTGTACAATCACAACTCATTTGCCTTTGACATCAATAAGCCTATCATCTCCAAGTCTGACTTTTGAAGAATAGTTTGTATCCAAGCTATCGAAATTCACCAAGTTTGGTGTCATGTGGTTAGTGCAGCCAGTATCAACAAGCCATGCTTCTTTAGCTTCAACTGACACACCATATTTTTCGATTTCTTATGAAGCAATAGTTGTTCTTTATACTTTTCAGAATTTTCGGTGACTTGTGGATGATGGGCTTGTGTTTGTTGATTCTGGTTTGTAGAACAAACTTTCTCGGTGTGACCAAATTGCTTACAAACCTTACATTGAGCTCCAGGTCTGAAGGAGCCCAAGGTCTGAACCAAGCAGTAGTTCTCAAATGTGTGTTTGTTTTTTTTGACAGGTGTGAGTTTGTTGTTTCGTGTGACAATGGTGGACAAGGCTGGAAAATCTAGATCCTTCTCCTCAATTTTTCTAAAATTCTTCTTCTTATTTTGGTTGTTGAAGTCACATTAAAGAGCCTTCTCTGTCGCAAAGTTCTCTCTTCCTTCCTCTAAATAGGCTCTCTCTCTGTTATCTCAGTCTACACGCTTGTAGAACGCATTTGAAGAGCCATATTCACTGATATTTGTGACATGCTCCCAAGTATCTGTCAAGGAAGAATAATTTTGGCTTCGAAAAAATTTTTTGACAGGGAGAGTGCACCTCCGATGAAACATTTCTCACCATTCTCATCTAACTCTGTGCTCAGACCACAAGCAAATTGCGAATTGTTGGTTTTAACAATTTTCCATAACCTGATCGCATAATTCTTTCACCTTTTTCATTGTCCAGTTGCATGTATCGATGCTTGTCAAATTCTTTTCTTAAATTTTATGAATGATCTTGCAATCTTGTATAGTTTTCAGATGCCATAACTCCTCAATTTTTATACTTCTACTGCAAAGGCATTCCATTGGTTGGTTTATCGTCTCTGAAGTGTCAGTATATCTGTTGGTGAAGGAATTAAGGAATCGGGCAGGTACAGCCCTGCGCAATGGATAATAGGATAAGAGCTTTCGGAGCCGAGTTCAGCCAAACCTCTCCTTCTCCGTTGTCTAAATGCTGCCTGAACGGCGATTGGATTTAGTAATTTGTAAGAGGTGCAGGGTACTGCCTGTTTTCCGTCCTACCGAACTACACTGCCCATGATATTGATCCCAATTCGCACCACGTTAGATTTCCACATACTGCCATAATCCAAGCCCCTTAAAATAAGCTCTCATCTTCACAGCCCAAACATGGTAGTTTTCCCCATTAAAATGAGGTGGTGAAAGAGACATGCTGCTGGACGCCATTTGAGGAAAAGCAAATAAACTGAAAACTTCACAAATTCTAGTTTATTTGATGGCTTTCTCTATGATTTTCACTCAAATACACACACAACCCTTCGAGATCAAGATTGCTCTCATACCACTTGTTGGTTTAGAAGAGCTGAAAAATAAGAAAGAGAAGGAAAATTCTGCAGAGAAGGAAAAATCTGCAGATTTTGTAAGTGTGGAGAAACAAATATTCACATCTCATTTTTATTACAGCATAATGTAAATATTTATACTAGTAACTAGGTTGCATTAGAATGTAAAGATAGTTATATACTAGAAGCATATTCTGACAAGCTTTGTTTACCGGAAACCTTCCATATCAGTCAAAGAATTTGTTCACCAACTTACCTAAAAGCAAGGTAGTTCACCTACTCTTAAACTATTCAACAAGAGTCACAGAGATAGGATTACCACCGTCTAAAGTCTTTAACAAAATTTGATTCTTCCAAAAACTCTCTGTCAACAACAACGTTGGCCGCTATACAACTGTTGAGCTTTCAATGTGAGTTTGTAGCTCGTGTAAGAACTAATTGAACGGTGAATCCTGTTCCAAATGTTCTGCCCCGGCAATTACTATTAAGTAGTGCTTCAAGGATACTTAAGTTCCAGACAGTATCGTTATAGGTAGACGGGAACCTCATCAACCCTTGAGTATATTGTGCATTGCAGTTTAGATCTGCAGAGAAGGAAAAATCTGCAGATTTTGTAAGTGTGGAGAAACAAATATTCACATCTCATTTTTATTACAGCATAATGTAAATATTTATACTAGAGCTATTCTAAAGTTTGTTTACCAACCTTCCATAAGTCAAAGAAATTTGTTCACCAAACTTACCTAAAAGCAAGGTAGTTCACCTACCTCTTACTTCAACAAAGTACAACAAAATCTAAATGACTTTAACAAAATTTCTTCAAAAACTGTCAACAACACTTGCATCAATTTTAGCTTCAATGGAGTTGTAGCTGTAACTTTAACGGTATCTTTCCATGTTGCCCCCAATTAATTATATGCTTCAAGTACTCCAAGTTTTTAGACGGGAACCCACAATTGTTATGTTGCTTATGTGGGGGAACGAAGAATTATATTTTTCTTTTAAGCATTTAATGGATTTTGTAACAGACTACAAAGCCTTATAAAATGATAAAGCTCATCCAATTAACTTCTTTTCATTCCTTTTCTGATGGTAACAATAAGTTAACTTTTATTTAGACCAAACTTAATGCATAGTTAAGAATTCTATTTGATGTAGGTAATACTAAAATATTAAGACCACTTAACTGTTACAGTACAAACGCATTCTTCAAGCAATATATGTATAGATATTATTTTGATCTGACCAATAATAAGGAAACTGAATTGCAGGATTGGGCAATTTGTCAGCTGTATTCTTATTTCCCATATTAATTTATTGTTTTCACTTGGGTGTAACTGGTGCTGCCATTTCTACTGTTGTGTCTCAGTATGTGCTTTTAACATTTGATATTTTAGTCACTTTTATAGTTTTACGACAGTATGAATCTTTAGTGACAGTTATGCTTCAAAATTTTCAGATACATTATAAGCTTTCTGATGATTTGGCATCTTAACAAGAGGACGGTATTGTTACTTCCTAGTGTAAAAGGTTTGCATTTTGGTGGCTATTTAAAATCTGGTAAGTGTTACTGACTTAGCTATGCAAAACCCTTTAAGTACCATCCACTTGTGGTTGTTATGGTTGAATTGCATCTTTTTGTCAGAATATATGTGTAGGATGTATTCCAGTACTGGATTTTCACAATAATGCGGCAGGATATTTGGTGTTTGAATCATGCAAGTTCCTGAGATCAGTAAATCTGCCTGCCACCCTGAATTAATGTAGTAAGCTACTGTATCTAATTGAAAGTTTACACAATGATGGTTGAAGGGCTTACTTCCTGCCCCTCTGGCGAAGTATCACCAGTCTTTTTTTAATGTGTGAATACTTGGTCTCTTTAATCTTATGAGAATGCTTTTGTAGTATTCTGTCTTTTTACAATTAAAGCTGTATGCTGGTTTTCTGTACGAAAACTGTTAAATCAATTGTTAATGTGCGATTAAATTAATCAACAAAATTAAGGAAGATGAACCCAATGGTTGATTTCAACTGCTATGCATGTGTCCTTTTCTGTTATGATCTATAGCTGAATCCTTAACAAAAATTGATTCTCTTAAACTGGAGATCATTTGTAACTCAATTTTTGTTTCATTTTCTTTTTGTGAAAAGCATGGAGAATGATGTTTGCTTGATGTCTGTGTCTTCTGAGGCAATTACAGACTCACTGCCTTGTTTGCTTGCATGCTTATGTATATATTTTCAGTTCTTAGAACTTATTTTAATGCAGTATCTTTTTTTACTTGCAACTATCATAGACAGACAAGCAAAATTTTGGTTACTTGGTTCCAAATATTTCGTTTCTTCATGCATGCTACTTGTATGCTTATACATATATTTCCAGTACTTCTGGTTCCAAATCAATCAGCATTTTTTTTGCTTCTGTAAGAGACATTTGCAATGATGAAGATTTGGTTTTCCTCAGGTGGTTTTCTTCTTGGGAGAACGCTAGCTGCTGTCATGACAATAACATTGAGTACATCTATGGCTGCTCGTCAGGGAGCATTAGCCATGGCAGCTCATCAAATATGTTTACAAGTGTGGTTATCTGTCTCACTCCTTGTAGATGCTCAAGCTGCATCTAGTCAGGTAACTCAATTTCAATTCCCGTTAACCTCTTCTTGAACTGAATATGCAAATTCCAACAATATCCATTCTGATTCTTTCATTTTAGTCCTTATATATGGTGGTATACCCTTTATTTTCTAATAGTTGAGAAACACTTACAGGCCCTAATTGCAAGTTCTTCTGCAAAAGGAGACTATAGTACAGTGAAAGAAATTGCTTTGTGTGCTTTAAAGGTGATTGTTCTTTTATTTGGCTGCAATTTTGTATTATCTTCTATATCACAAAGATTCATAAAATGTTTATACATTTTCCATCAGACGGGATTATTTACCGGCATTTCCTTAGCCATCATATTGGGCGTATCATTTAGTTCTTTAGCAACTTTGTTCACCAAAGATGCTGAGGTATTAGCAATTGTTAGAGCTGGGTTTCTGGTGAGTCTAAAATATCTGTTCTTGCTCTTTTTTGTTTCCAAGGTGTCAATTCTTTTACTCTTTAATTAATTCTGATTCTGAATCAATTACTTGTTTCTCGACTTGGTTTATGAATGCAATCTAAATCTACCACAGTTTGTCAGTGCCAGTCAACCGATCAATTACTTGTTTCTCGACTTGGTTTATGAATGCAATCTAAATCTACCACAGTTTGTCAGTGCCAGTCAACCGATTAATGCTCTGGCTTATATCTTTGATGGTCTTCATTATGGTATATCAGACTTTTCATATGCTGCTTGGTCTATGGTAAGACTATGGTATATCAGACTTTTCATATGCTGCTTGGTCTATGGTAAGACTTCATCTCACAAATTTCAGTTATGATTTTAATATATTGGTCTGCTTCTATGATGCATGAAATCTTCTAGCCATAGGCATTTCCGTGTTTCGGAAACGTTTCCACGCGTCTGTTTCCCCATATAAAATACTATTTCTCCGTATAAAATTACATTTTAAATATCGTTTCCAAATTTCCACATTTCTTCATTTCCGTTTCCATGGAACATAGTCTGCTTCAAGTTGTCTAACAAATAGCTAATAGATAGTGGTTGGGGCACTTTCTTCTGCATTTATGCTCTATGCACCCTCCATTATTGGCCTTTCTGGAGTATGGTCTGGCTTGACTCTTTTCATGGAAATGAGAACAATAGCTGGATATATGAGCTAGTGGATTTACTATCCCTTATTCTTTTAGTATTCTGAGAAATGACTTCACTCTTTAGTTTTCAACTGCATTTCCTTACATTTTTTATCAGATTATTATCGAGAAATGGGCCATGGTGGTTCCTGCAGGACGACATTGATGAAACTTTGAAAATAGCTGATGTGTTACATATAATATTTGTTATATTATTTGTTATTAAATGACTGTATGTAGTTGTATTCTAATGATAGTCTTACACTCTTATAGTTATCCTTTGTAACTACTCTATATACAGAGTTGTATAAATAGAGTTGTATTATTCAATTGTATAAATAGAAGTTGTATTATTTTTCATACGAGATATATAGAAAAACCGCAATTCTTTTCCAGATTTAACATGGTATCAGAGCTACCATAATCATGGCTCTTGTTCCTCTATCTTCTTCTTCTTCTTCTTCTTCAACTATCACTTCTGCGTCTTCTTTTTCAATCAAATTAAAAGACAATAATTACCTAACTTGGAAAACCCAGTTTGGTCCAATACTAAATTTCCAAGGCCTCAATGGTTTTATTGATGGTTCGCAAGCAGCTCCTCCTAAAACTATACCCGCATCTGCCACAGATACTACACCTATACCAAATCCAGCATATAAGGATTGGTTTAATAAAGACCACATGCTTCATTCATGGCTGTTAGCCTCCCTTACAGAAGAGGTTTACTCTCTTGTTTATGGACTCAATTCTTCATATGCAGTTTGGCAAGCTCTAGCCAACGCGTTTGGTGCTGTATCTCAGGATCGTCAGCTTCAATTACATATTGAGCTTCAAGAACTCAAGAAAAATGATCTCTCCGTCTCTGCTTATCTTAAGAAGGCAAAATCTCTGGCCGATGAACTTGGTGCAGCTGGATGTCCTCTTTCTCCGGCTGAGTTTAATGCGATAATCTATCGAAATCTGGGTTTCAAATTTCATTCAATTATCACAAATCTTAATCTTCGTCCACAACCAGTTTCATTTTTCGAGTTACATAGCCATTTCGTTGCACATGAACTGCTTCTTAATAATCTCCATCAACCAATGGCTGTGAAGTAGCGATAGCCTTATTCTCGTAAGGCACATGAACTGCTATCATTAAATATTTCTCATCAACCAATAGTGTCTTAACGTTAACATCTTCATTCATTCGTTCTTCAAAGTTCATCTACCACCAAGATCAACGAGATCTTCTGCTACACTGTGTTTAACTACCCAATCAGATTTTCTCGTAAAGACTTACGTAGCTGACATTGCCCATAATCATGTACAATAAAACCCAAATCATACTAACTTATGAAATTGTCGTATCATGCCTCACATTTTATCGTAGTAAAATATTGAGGCAAGAAATAGGAGCAACTTGGCTACTCATCTGGTTACACTAGCGGCAAACAATCCAACTCAAGCCTATCCAATCCATTCTTTCCCGACATATCGGCGATTCACCTCTCTGCTGCCAATATGGTGCATACAGGCAACTTACCCCGACTGCCTCCTTCTAATCGACCATGATTCTGCTTCTGTTTCCTTGTTTCAGATACTGCTCTCTGTCTAATTACCAATGTTTACACCAGAATTCGCACAACTGAGTGTATTAAATGAATACTCAGGTAATGATCAATTATTGCGGTTAGGATATGGTGCAAGGTCTAGCAGCATCTCGCGCACACACTACCGTATAAATCCTGTGACTTATGTTCACTCATAATTGCCGAGCTTAACGGGGTAATATAATTGTCTTATGTGCTGATGCATACATCTAACAAGCAAATTTGCTTTTCTTTCAAAAATTGGCCCAAACTGATATTCTGTTTTCCATTTGGAATTTTGGCAATGCTCAATTAATTATTGCCAATAAAAAGGACCAGTAGCAGCAGTACTCGAAGAACACACGATGCAACTCAAGTGAAGAATGGATATTGTGTGTTATAACAAGGTTATACTCAGACATTTCGATCGCCACATCGTTGCTTCACATTGGCATAAATCTAATTAGTGTCTGCAGCTTTCGTTCACTGAAACTCCATTGGGAATCGCTGAAGCGTGTGTTTGGGCAGCACTCCCCAACTACCGTTTCAATAAAGTTTGAACTTTTCAGTTAAAGCAGAATACGAAAATCAGTTATTCTTTTAGTTAAGCAGAATTTCAGTTTCTGATACTGAGATGAGTCTTTGTTCTAGTTGTCACTTAGGCAAATTGTCTCGTATGTCTTTGGTTTCTAAAGAACATACAAGTCGAAAACCATTTGATACTGTATTTTCAGATGTATGGGGTCCTGCACCTGTACAATCTAGTTTGGGACATCGATATTTTGTTCTTTTTATTGATGACTTTACTCTTTTTACTTGGGTTTATTTCATGAGAAATAAAACTAAGGTGTATGACATTTTTCTTCAGTTTGAGCAACTAATCAAACGTCAATTTAGGATGCCTATTTTGGCTTTTCATTCAGACTGACTAAATTCGACATCTTGTAGATACTAGTCTCACCCTTTTAGCTCATGCTTCGTTATCTTTGAAATACTGGAATTTTGCTATTGAACAAAGTGCTATGTTAACTAACACCTTGCCTTCTGATGTTTTGCACAAAATTTCACCCTTCTTTAAATTATTCTCTAAGGATCCCAACTATTTGTCCTTTCAACCTTTTGGATGTAGTGTCTTCCCATTATTGCGACCCTACAATAATCATAAATTTAGTTACAAATCTGCTAAATGTGTATATCTTGGGCAAAGTCCTTTTCATTCTGCCTATAGATGTCTGGATTTTAGAACAGGACGAGTGTATTTGGCGAAGCATGTTCAGTTTGTGACTAATGAATTTCCTTATGCCAAGATGACTGTGTCAAAAAGTATACAAGAATCGCAGGCTGATCCCACATGGCTTCAAGTTACTTGTACATCGCCATCTTCACCAACGCCTTCATCAGGTATGTCCTTCTCTTGTACTCCATCTTCCCCACACACTCCAATTCAATCTCATTATTTTCTCATCATTCTGCAAAAATTACACCACAATCTGCAATCTCCACGGGTTTACAGATTGTCTCTGATATTGCTTCACTCAGTCCACCTCCAATTCGAGTCCATCCTATGGTTTTAAGGACAAATCCTCAACCAAATCCAAAATATGCTTCTGTTGCTCAATTTTGTCTCTGAATATTGCTTCACTCAGTCCACCTCCAATTCGAGAGTCCATCCATATTGGTCTTTAAAAGGACAAAATCCTCAACCAAAATCCAAAAAGCTTCTGTTGCTCAAGTTTGTCTGCATTCAGGAACCCAAAACTTAACTTGGCAAGCTAAAAACAAACAGTGAATGAGTGTGATGCAATGTAGAGGATTTCAGCATTATTAAAGGAATAAAACACTCGATATTGGTGCCCAACAACCAGAAATGTGAATGTTATTCAAAAAATAAATGGGTGTAATCGCGGAGTCAAAACGCACAGCACTCCAATGAGCAATAGAGCGTTACAAAGCTCGTTCTAATTCGTGAAATGGATTTTACACAGCAGTGGGTCTTGAATTACACCAACAAACGTTCTCGTCCGGTTGTGAAATTCACTACTACTGTTTTCGCATTCTTTTGGCTCTCGCTGTAGACAAAAGGATGGAATATTGTGTGGAATTAGACATTTCAAATGCTTTCCTCCATGGTTCTTTAAACAGAAGATTGTATAGTGGAGGCAGCCAAAAAGGCTTTGCGTTGATAGTCACTAAATAACCGGATTTATGTTTGCAAACTTCAAGAATCTCTTATGGATTAAAACAGCACCGGGCGGGTCTGGTAGAAAGACTCAAAGCCAATTAGTTCTCCTCAATTTTGCAAGCACCACAGGCTGATATTCTTTATTTAATATACACCAATGAGTTGAATAAATATATTAATTTGAGTGCTAGTCCATGTAGATCATTCTGTCAACGGGAACCCAAAAATCCCTTTTTTTTTTTCCAAAAAACTATCAATTGAAAAAAATTGGGGTTTGGTTCATAAGCTGGCTGCTACCTTTCCTGTTCGAGATCTTGGTGAGATACATTACTTCCTTGGAGTTGAGGCCACGAAGACGCCGGATGGTTTATTGCTTTCTGAAAGCAAATATCTCTCTGAAATATTACAAGCAACACAAATGTCAGTAAACAAACAGGAACTTTATTGGATTCTATGACAGAGTATAGACAAGTGGTCGGGGCTCTACAGTACTTAACTCTTACTAGACCGGACATTGCCTTTGTGGTTAACAAATTAGCTCAATTTTTACATTGCGCTACAGATGTTCATTGGCAAGCATGGTTCACTGTGGCCAAGCAATGCCAAAAGACCTGCTACTATAATCTAATGTACAACCACTCGAGGGTGTTTGCTTCGTCCTTCATCAACCATTACTCACTCAACTTATTCAGATAGTGATTGGGAAGTTTACCGATGATTCGACGTTCAACAGGAGGGCTATCTAGTTTATTTGGTGACAAATTAATCTCCTGAGTCTAGTAAGAGACAGCACAACGTAGCAACGCTCATACGTTAAGAAAGTGCACATATAAAGCTATTGCAAATGTTGCTTGCTGAGCAATAATTGGATTACTACTCATGTTAATGTGAGATTGATATGCTCCTTCAAGATCTGCAACTTTAAATCATCTGCAACTTTATGGTGCGATAATGTTAGTGCTATCTATCTTACTTCAAATACTATTTTTCATGCTCGAACAAAGCATGTTGAAATTGATTATCATTTTATTCAAGATCAGATACGGCTTGGCATTGTTTCTATTCGATTTCTTAAAAGTGCAGAGCAAATCGCAGATATAATGACCAAACCTTTGGGGCAGCAACTATTTGCATCTCACTCATGCAAGCTTCAACTGCAGTCTCCTGCCGTTCAGCTTGAAGGGGGCTGTTACAGATAATATTGGTTATATTATTTGTTATTAAATAACTGTATGTAGTTGTATTCTAATGATAGTCTAATCTTAACATACTCTATGTTATCCTTTGTAACTACTCTATACCTTTGTAACTACTCTATATACAGAGTTGTATAAATAGAGTTGTATTATTCAATACGAAATATATAGAAAACCCAATTCTTTCCAGATTTACATGATGTACAGCCTTGATTCATTTCAGTTGACTTCATTATTTTTATCATAAATCTGTTGTTCATGGTTGAAGCTTTTTCATGGAAGTTCGCTGCTATTTG